AAAGACAGGAGAAAGATTAAAAGTTAATAATGTGCTACAGCATTTCTCCTTTTTCCTCACTGTATCCAGTCTGATACAGTGTCATACCTGTTCCTGATCACCCACCGTTCACTCTGATTTTAGCAGCTCCCAGGGACTGTTCTGTAGGCTCAGCAGATAAGAGACATCCACATATTTTCCCAAGCTTGGAATTACCAGTTGTTTGTCTGCCTTTTAATGTTGAAAAGGACAACAACAGACAGGTTGAAACTCATGCAAGGCTCACTGAACTCGATGTTAAAGCAGAACAGAAGCAGGAAATAAAAGCCAGTATAGTTAGAAGAAGAAAAGGAGAAGAAATTATTTTTCTTTTAATAATTTTTTCTTTCAAAAGAAAACAAAAAAAGTTAATTGGTTTAGGTTTGTTTGGTTCCATATCAAAATACTGCCAGGAAAGGTTTGAATAGGAATTGTGAATTTAAAATGGCAAGCTCATTACTAATAGCATAATAAATACATCAAAGTTATTTCCTCCACAGAACAAAAATTTTCCTTTATCCACTGCTGAATCCCCCACTATGTCTAGATCCTAGGTTTGGCCTAAACTTTTGAATAAGCAAAATCTAAAATTAGCAGGTAATGTGTTACAGACACTTAAGAATTAGGACTGTAGGCATGACAGACAGTCTGTTTTACCTGCATGCAAACTGTAGTTGCTAGCAAATTTTTCTTCCTAAAGTAATTGCCTTAGGCATACATCACCACAACTGTTAGTGTTAGATTAGGACACTAACAGATTAGGTGTATAAAACTGATTTAAATCAGAAATGAACACTGAATTTTTTTTTCCATTAGTCATACCACTACAGTGAAATCTGCCTCAGGTTTATGCTTTTACACTGGCTATTGGAGGACATGACACCTGATAACAATAACTGGATAAACAATATCCAAACTGTATAACTGTCAATGCATAGTTCTGGAAAACTTTTCTGAATATCTGAAATACCAAGAAGAGTTTTGATCAGATATGCTTTTTCTGCATCATGAGGCCATAAATTTTTTTATCTGGTCAAACGCACTCCATCACACTCAAAGCCTCAGTCTTCTCTACAGGTTGTGAAAAGAGGTGGGCTTTCATGAAGGCATTGAAATGAAGGTGTGATGCTTCCAATTAAGGCATTTATATTAACTATAAAACATTAATAGAAGAATTAGACGAGCGATAGAGAAAGTGCATTATAGCAGGGTAGATTTTTCAGGATCTCATGCTGCCCCTAGACTCTCTACTTTTAACAGATAAAAAGCTAGAGTTTGGATGTCATTTATATTGCCTCATACTAAGAGCAGTGGGAAAGCTGGACTATCCATATAAAATATTTTCTTTCTCATGAGGACAAATCTCCAGCAGGACATCTCTATGCTTCTGTTCTCAGCTGACCTTTCTGAAAAGGAACACTGACCAGGATATCTCAGCTCTTCAGCTATTCAGAACTGCCACCACATCCTCTACTGCTGCCTGGTGGCATAGATCAAATCAGCTTGCTCTTCAATCCCCAGTCTGTCCACAATTCAGTTCTTGATTCTTAAAAATTTCCCTTTCTTCAAATGCAGGTAACGGTGTCTGACACACTCATCTTCACTACTGTCCTCAGGTCCTCCCATTCTTAGGGCATGAGAAGCAGCTTCAGTTGCTTTATTACCTTGTTTGTTCCACCCTTACCATTCTCACACATACTTCCACTTTGCACCTTAACAAGCTACCATAAGCAAGTCTTCTTCTGCTACTTCTTCAGTGGCCCCACTACGTTGACCAAAGTACTTCCTGGCTCCTCAGAAATCCCACATCCATCCCACTTTGCTACTCCTGTTTATTTTCAGAGTTTAAAATGAGTTAGCACATCCACACAGCCACTTGCCATCCAGCACAGTTGCCCAACTGCAAACAAGCCAGCAGTGTAGGAGTTTATTTTCCCATAGCGACTTTTACTTGGTAAAATAAAGTTCCTATTTTAGTACCATTTAGAAGTTGAGATATTTTGGGAGCAACAAAATATTTGTGTGAGAAGGCAAATCAAATATTTCCAGACCAAGTCCATTCCCTTACCTTTCTCAAAGACCATTTCCCTGCTCAAGATGGTCTCGTTATCTCTGATCACTTCTCCCCTTACGGTGACCTGCGCTGGGCTGTCCGGCAGCAGAGCTACCCCAACAGTCAGGTTTGCTCCAGGCCTGATGTTCCAGGGAACTGCCACAAGGAACGTAGGTCTAGAAAGTCCAAACAGGCAGAGGGAGTAAGGGCAAGCAGTGAAATACAGTTCCAAAAAAAGTAACAGCGTCCATATAAAGACATACGATACATGTTGCAAAGCCCTCCCGTTGCTCTCCGCTGCGAAGGCTGGAGGTGATGCTCACCCACTGGGCGCTCCGGGGCGCGCAGGGAGCGGGGAGCGCTGCTCTGCCGCTCTCCGGACCGGCTCCAGCCCGGCGCCGGGAGCCCCGAGAAGCGTTCGCTGCCCCGCAGCCCCCGCGCCGGGCGGGAGGGGAGGGGAGGTGCGGCGCCCCCGCCTGCCCCCGGCCCCACGTACCCGGCTGCCGCGGCGCTGCAGAGGAGGAGGAGGAGGAGGAGGAAGCGGACATTGCCGCGGCACCGCGCCATGGCTCTCCGTGCACGCTGCCCGAGGGATCCGCCGCTGTGCGCAGGGCCAGGGCCGGGGCTGTGTCTGTGGCCGGGCGGGAGGCGCCTTCGCGGGCGGGGGAAGGGAGAGAAGGGAGAGGCCGGCGCTGCCCCAGCCCCAGGCGCTCCAAGGCAGCAGCACCCGCGGGGGCGTTCCCGAGGCAGGCCCGGGGGAGCAGGGGGGGCGCCCCGACGGCGGGATATATCCATCTACACAGGGATACCCACGGAGGCATTTCACCTTCCTTCGGCCAGCGCTCTCCGCATCCTCGGGCTGATGCAGCTGAGGAACGGGTGGGATTCTCAGACAAACACAACACCCTATAAAAGGAACGCTGAGGGCAATGTTTTCTGCCTGCAGCTCCGAGAAGAGCGGCGATCTGATGTGGGGAGCTGCCCGGTAATCTACTGGGAGAGACCTGGAGGGACCGCAGAGGCGCGCTGGCGTGGGGCTGGGGTTCGGAGGCGAGTTGGGAACGGTTCAGGGTCTGAACAGGGAGAACGACGCTGGCAGAAATTCAAGGAGCCTCGTAGCAACTTAAACGTGAACCGATTGGTAATGTAGCTCTGGCTGGATTGCCCTCTGTGACCACTCTCTGCAAAATAAGGTCATGTCCACTTATGCATCTTAACTCACCTTCAGAGTCCAAATAGTGCCCTGAAACAGCTTGGCGAGCTTTTGTTCCTTTAGCATGTTCATTGTAATTGTGTAGACTAGACACATCTAATGTTTTGATTTATCAAAATTTTCATTCCTGCACAAGTTTAATGCATTTAGAAATTCTACCCAGTTCTTGCAGTCTGTCTCTTCAGAAATGCTAGGCTGGCATCCTCTGCATTATGTTACGCAGAAAAAATACAGTCAGTTATAGTCCTGAGCAGAAGCATCATGTTATGTTCCCATGAAAATCAGATATGAACAGTATCTGATGTACATAAACATCTGTTGTATCTGATGTACCTACATCATATGTACATAAACATTGTTCTAATTGTATCACAGGCAGTCATGCAGTCTTTTCACAATGTTTAAATTTGCTTTTACAATTTTTCATACTTCTACTGTTTCTTTTTGGAGCACCAGTCTTTGTAGTGACAGGACAAAGGGGCCACCTCTGTAGACTAGGGCAGGCGTGATAGTACAGCAACCACAGCTGATGCTTGAAAAGTCAATCTTGGCAACTCCTCACCTGCAAAAGGTGCATGAAGACGCAAAGTTTGGGAAATGTTTGCGGTTGTTTTTAGTAAGTCCTTGTTACATGTGAGAAACAGCTACGGAAGATGAACAGTCACTGCCACTCCTTTTCATGGAGATGGTGGGAAAAAGAGCTTACAAGTAGCACTGCATCCTGAGCACCCCAGCCTCAGATGGTAAAGCTACACAGAGTACACATTTCTCCAGTCTCTGGCACTGAACCCAACTGGCACTCCACCATACCTGTCATTACCAATCACCTCTCTCAGTCTACAAAACAAGATGGTCACATCCAAACTTCCTATCAGGTATGGTCCATGCTAACCCCCAAACCATACCATGAATTGTTCAAGACAATACTCAGTGGCCAGGGCAAAAACATGCCAAGGTCAACTTGAGGGTAGAGACAATGAAGTTCCAGTCTCAGGAACATTTGCTGGCACTGTTTAAATCATTAGCATGAATGTAGCCCAAAAGTTCATTAGTGAAAATGCTTGCAAATGTCATAGATTTTGCCCAGTTTTGCAACAGTATTATGGACTTCCACCTTCCCTTTTTTTTCCCTAAGGTCTTGTTATTTAAAGATACTTTGGTATATGTATTTGATCTCTTCTTCTACAAAAATGCCAATAAAGAAACTGTATAGCAAAAAGTAAGAGAATAAATGGATTATCATTATTAGGATTTCATCTGTTCTGAATACATTTAGAACAAATAAGAAATGGAGAAACAGATATTGTTAAATGCCATTCCATAAAAACATATAAGCTTCATTTCTTACACATGTATCCATGAGTGCATGGATCCAGAGACATTTTCATAATTTCATTTCCAAACAGGATATACTACACTGTAAGTACATGTAAGGGGTTTTCATGGCTAAACATACCATTTAGGAATCAAATATGGTATGTAAGGATTTTGTAAGCTCCCAGTTAGCAGAAAGCTAAAGCACATATTAGCCTATTCAGATAAAATTTCAAGACTCATGTCTTACTAACATCTAAAAAAGGTCTTGATTTGCAAGTGTTCTGCAGCTGCTAATTTTCATTGTAATATAAGCTGTGATTTCCCTGAAACACCACTTCAACTCCTACATTCTTTTATCAAATGTGATCCTTCTTTGGTGCCCAAACAACACTAAATACTGTAGGTACCTGGACAGAAAGCACTTTTCCTGTGAGATGGTTCTCATGAGAAAGCCCGCACTAGGAGCTCCCTCTCCTATTCCCCATTCAGCACCTCCCAGCTCTGCAGTCTGCAGCCCTGCCAACTCTACTCTGCAGCCTGTGCCATACAGTTCTTTGTAGAGAGAGGTTTACTACTAATTCAGCTGATTTCAGTGGCCCCATTTGCAACACAGTCCCACTCCCCCAGAAGTCGCTATCAGCACAGCTTGTAGACAGGAAACTGTGGAGCATGAACAGAAAAGAAGTAAACCAAGAAAATTTTAAGCTAACTTCAGCTCTATAGTCAGTGAATGCCTATAACTATACCATGTATTTCAAGCCTCCTCTGCACATTTCTCTGCACACCAACAATAAAAATGAGTCATGAATAATTGGAGAATTAGCACAGTTAGAGAGAACTGGGCTAAGCTGGTATCCCATTCATGCTCACAAAGTGTTAAGCTATTTGTTCTGTTGGACTTGGGTATCAGGTAAGCATAATTGATCACACAACCCTACCAGTTATGGGAGCATTACATTCCCCTGCACTCTGTTCATTACACAGTTTGTGCTGAACTGGTCAAACTTCAACTTAGGGGCACCAAGATTTGAAAAGCTTTTGCATACCCACCGGCTTCTGTTATAGGGTACAAAATATTCTCAGCTAAAAAATATCTGTGCATCCAGAACAGATAGAAGAAATAGATCACATTATTACTAATTAACTGCTAGGATATCTGTGTTTTAGCTAAACAGAAGACCTTAGCTGGGCTACACATCATTTTCAAGACCATAGAAACCATTTGTCAGTGTCTCAGGCCTAAGCATGTTTAAATGCCTGTTTCTGACAAACACCGGAGAGACTAAGTTGTGCACAAAGATCACCATGCAAAGGAAATTTGTTTTGGACCTGATGTCTGCATATTAGGAATAATTTTAAAGAAGTATAACCCAGCAGGAAAGGATTTAATTATCTCCAACTGCTCCAAGCCAGTCAAAGGGGCACTCTGGAGACACAATTTGGGAGGTTGTTGTGTTCAGCATGCCAACCAGAGAAGCTAGATGAAAAATCCCTCTCTGTTCAATTTTCACATTCTGGAGTTAAGCAAGCATTACCACATTCAATTTTACACCCATCTCTGATATGTCATCATCATGAAAATTCTACTTTTACCACCTCCACTGCTACCCAGGAACCTTATTTTGCTAATCCTTCACATTGTCTTACAAGCAGAGCCTGTAAAGGCTGCAAAAATCATCTACAGCACTGGCTATAGTCTCAGGCAGCTAACAACTATACCGTTGTCTGTTTCTATACAACTTAGTTACTAAGTCGAGCTTAGTCGAGTGATTTCAGTACCAGCTGAAATCACACCTCTGAGTTGCAGCCTAAGTATAATCTAAACAAAAATGTGTTTAAGTAAATACAGAAAACAAGAATGGTTCCTTAATGAGTCCAAAAAGCAACTTCTGCCTCGGTAAATTAGAAGGATCACAGCACCTAGCAAGCTCTAGTAATTGTATGAAGATTGGCTGGAAATAAACACATGCAGAGCAAGTCTGCTTTTCTCTGATAGTACATGCTGTTCAGTAAATGCAAAAATCTAAGCATTACAGTACCTAAAATACTGGGGGAAATCTCCACAAAAGTTACAACAGGGAGAACTTGAATGGTCAATGCCCTGTCCTGCTTTTAGCATTAGGCAGTGAACTTGGCTGGTCTGATATTCAGCTGGATTCAGCAGGCATTCAACCATAGTGTGGTGCAAACAATGTGTGTTTCCATGAAATGAGGCAAATTCAGGGAAATATGAAGAGCTACATTATGTGGAAATCTGAACTAGAATATCACTATAGTCTCTTCCAGCACAATATTCTCTCTTTAAAAGCTTAGCCAGTTGCCTCATGCATCACTGAACTCAAGGTCTGCAGCTCATTTAGGGGATGGATAAATCTTATAATTAATCTCAATAGATTTTGGATGAGGTCCTACCAGAAACTGTGATTCAGCAGCTCATGGAACTAGGAAGGAAGCAAAAGTCTATTTTATCACTCATAGTAAGTGGACAAGAATTACAGTGAATACTAAAAATAGATGGGTGGAAGATCATTCATGGTAGCAGGAGGGCACATTTCTTGCATGGTTGTAAGCCTGAAGAATTTGCGATTGCTGGAAAGTACTGACAGGAGCATAGGATATAAATCTCTCCCAGAAGTACTCAGTAATAACACCTCTGATGCTGTTTCTGATGATGGAATGTGTCATAATGTTTTACACTACACTGATGATGGGTGTGCCATGCACTGAAACTTGCCCTGAGCTATAAGGGTGGAGCTGTATGAAAATCTAGTCTGCACTGCAATTAAGATATTTTTTTCCTAGTAGTTGAAGACATGTCCCTTGGTGAAAAATGTTATTTGCAAATTCTCTTCCAACTCGAACTGTTACTGCAGCCAGAGTGGGTAGGATTTACCTAGTCAAATGCATACTGTGCAATAGTCTACAATTAGTACTATCGCTGGATAGACAACGGAGTGAAGTAGGCACTTTTCAGAACAGATTTGTATGATTCATTAAAATACCAACATTCCAATTGTGCAGACATTCAAAAGTGGCCTTAAACGAATCAAGTGAATCGCATTCTTAAAGCACCAATTA